TACTACTACTACTACTACTAGTACTACTACTACTACTACTACTACTACTACTACTACTACTACTACTACGACTACGACTACTACTACTACTACTACTACTACTACTACTACTACTACTATTACTACTACTACTACTACTACTACTACTACTACTACTACTACTACTACTACTACTACTACTACTACTACTACTACTACTACTACTCTTACTCCTACTCCTGCTCCTGCTCCTACTCCTATCCTTATTCCTTATATTCGAATATACTCTTACTCCCCCGTCTGGCCGGACGATAGCGGTTCCATCTGGGCCCTCCCATCGTAACTGTAAAAAATCCATACAAAGGCGTCGTTGTTCTCTCAACATGGCCTTTCTTGTCGTCGACGATGCGAAATGCGTAGCAGGAATAGGACGCGGCGCGCATCGCGCGCGGCCGTCAATCCGTGCCCTACCATCCTGACTGCAAAACAAATCCATACAAAGTCGCCGTTGTTTCTCTCAGCATGGCCTCTCTTGTCGTCGACGATGCGACATGCGTAGCAGGAATGGGACGCGGCGCGCATCGCGCGCGGACGTCTGGGGCAACCCCATGCGGGAGGGGCCATCCGACCTTTCGTCGAAAACACATACAAAGTAGACATGCTTCTTCTCAGCGAGGGCTTTCTTGTCGTCGGCTTTGCGATATGCGTGGCAGGAATGGGTGGCGGTGCACACCGCGCGCGACAGGCTGAACTGTCGCTCCCGCTTCGGCGCCGCGCGCATGTTTTCTGAAAGTTGCGCTCCCGCTGAGGCGCGGCGCACATTTTTCGCTCGCCAATTCGTCGAGCGCCAAGGGCCACCTGGGGCCTCTCAGGGTCTCCTGGAACATCCTGGGGTTTCCCCAGGGCCTCGTGGATCCTCCTGGGGCCTCCTAAGGCATCCTAGGGATTCCTGGGATTCCCGGGGCTTCCTGACACCTCCTAGGCCTTCCTGGAGCCTCCTGGAACCTCCTGGGGCTTCCTGGACCCTCCTGAAGCCTCCTGGGGTTTCTGGGGTTCGCTGGGGTTTCCTGCAACCTCCTGGGGCCTCCTGAGGCTTCCTGGGGCCTCTTGAAGCTTCCTGGGGCCCGCTGGGGCTTCCTGCAACCTCCTGGGGCCTCCTGAGGCCTCCGGCTTCCTGAGGCCTCGTCGGCTCGTGCTGAAATGCCAGCGCAGTCTTTGAGACGCGCTAGGATTTTCTGATCGGTAACCGCCATCGCGGCTGCATCAGCTGTGGCCAACCACCTTGCCGATCTGATTTCGGTCTCCAGTTGCGCCAGCACTGTTTCTTATGTTGTGGGAGGGCGGGTGGGAATGGGCATGCCATGCTTGGCTCGCTCGAGCTGGCTAGCTTGACTCCTACTCCTACTCCTAGTCCTACCCTTCTCTCCTCTCTCCTCCTCCTCCTCCTCTTCCTCCTCCTCCTCCTCCTCCTCTTCCTCGCCTCATCTAAAAAAGGTTCAGCAGTCAGCCCGTCAAGCTGCATTGTGGGCCGTCGTCTTCGCAGGGGACGCGCCACCGGCCATGGCAGTTGCGACCCCCTTGTCCTGCGCGCGCTCAGTTCCACTCCGCCCCTGGTCCCCAGCCCACCTGCAGCGCTCGCTCGTGCCTCCGCTCTCGTTCCTCCTCCTCCTCCTCCTCCTCCTCTTCCTCCTCTTCCTCCTCTTCCTCCTCTATATGCTCATTCTTGTCCTCCACCGCCACCTGCTCCTGTTCATTCCGGTCGTCTTTTGGCGCCACCAGGGTGCCGAACAGGGTACGGGCCTTGTATGCGCACTGTACGTGGCAACTGCAAGCACATATGAGACACATTGAAGGGATATCGCGTGTGTATAACGAGGTGCAGCAATCAGGTGCCGCTTTGGTGAACAATATATTCCTTGGCGGCGGCCCGAGTGGTAGTTCATGGATCATGAATGTAACATGTCATGCGGGTCCTATTGTCACTTACGACTTGATGCGAACTGCGTGGATGTACTGTCTAATCCACTCAGAATGCAATCTCCTGTCTGCTTGCCGCCCACTGTCTATTACCATAGCAAAGCCTTCAGGAGGCGCCCAGGAGATGCGGTGGAGGAGGAGGAGGCGGCGAAGGGAACAAGGGAGGAAGAAGAGGCGGCGGCGGGAGGAGGGAGGAGCAAGGAGGGAGGGGGAGGACTGACCCCCCTTATCTTCAAAGACCGACGGCGACGACGCCGACGACGATGACAGCCCGCGCTCCTCGGCCGCCTCCGCCGTGCCCTCCAGGAGCGCGCGCACCTTCGCGCGGTCCTCGAGGATACCTCCGCCCAGGGAACTGGTATTTGGGTGAGAGGCACACCATCGCGCTGAGGAGCGGGACGAGTGAGGAGGGCTGGGGGGAGGACGAGGGCAGGGGGGAAGGACGACGGAGGGATGATGAGGCGGAGGAGGAGGAGGAGGAGGAGGAGGAGGAGAGGAGGAGGAGGAGGAGGAGGAGGAGGAGGAGGAGGGGGGCGAGGGAGGGATGATGAGGCGGGGCAGGATGAGGATGAGGATGAGGATGATGATGCTGATGCTGATGCTGCTGCTGCTGATGATGATGATGATGGAGGAGGAGGAGGGAAGAGGAGGAGGAGGAGGGGGGCGAGGGAGATGATGAGGCGGGGCAGAATGAGGATGAGGATGAGGATGAGGATGAGGATGATGATGCTGATGCTGCTGCTGCTGCTGATGATGATGATGATGAGGAGGAGGAGGAGGAGGGAGAGGAGGAGGAAGGGAGGATGAGGAGGAGGAGGAGAGAGAGGAGGAGGAGGGAGGAGGAGGATGAGGAGGAGGAGGGAGGAGGAGGAGGAGGAGGGAGGAGGAGGAGGAGGAGGAGGGCTGGCTCCTTCGCAGGGAGGAGCCAGCCCGCAGCTCGAGCTCGAGGATGAGGAGCCAGGGATCAGAGCGGGAGGAGGTGGATGATGGAGGGAGAGAAAGGGGGGACGAACGGGGGGAGGGAGGAGGGGCAGGAGAACGGAGATAAGGCAGATGGAAAGGAGCAGGCTCCTCGTACCTCTACTAGAGGTACGAGGAGCAGGAGGGAGGGAGGGAGGGAGGGAGGGAGGGAGGGAAATAGACGGAGGACGGATGGAAGCGGATGGCAGGATCGAGTCGTATCAACAGGGTCTTAGAAGAGGTTACGGGATTGGGAGGTCAAGGAATGGGACCGTAATCAGGGAGCAAGATGTCAAATATCATCAACACGAATCGCAACGTCACCAGCGGCCACATCTCGGAAACGTAAGTTTCAGATTCCCCTGTGGCCTGGAGATGGTGTTGCCAGAGCTCCACTGCCGGGCCTGAACTTGATATCGCCCGCTTGCAAAACGAAGTTCCTGGCCCTAACGCCCTGCGCTTCATTCTCCCACATCCCCACTGCCAGGCCTGATCTGGACTGATCTGGACCAACCAGGTGCAGCAATCACAACGGCCCCGCGCTCCATGTTGCCAGAACTTCATTGCCGGGCGCAGTGGAGAGGACAGGATTAAAAGCCCGCACGTCATCGGCGTTGAGATGGTAATCGTCAAGGCTGCCGCACGGACACACACACACACACCATCTTCTGTCAAACTTGCTGTTGGGATTCCTCCCGGAGTTCTGTTTTGGCCGCCGGCGCGGTGACGCTCGGCCCGGCAGCGCGCCTGCCTTGGGCACGAGGCAGGCTCCGCCCCAAACGGCCAAAGCCGTTTTGGCCGCGCGATGTGCCGCACCTGCTCCCCTCCTTGCGGGCGGCCAGCACCACGACGGCCTCTGGACCCCCCACGACGCCGACCTGGACGAGGAGGAGGAGTGTAGAAGGGAAGAGGAGGAGGAGGAGGAGGAGGAGGAGGAGGAGGAGGAGGAGGAGGAGGAGGAGGAGGAGGAGGAGGAGCCTTTCTCCGCCGCGGCGGCCAGAGCCTCTGCTCCAGCGTGACGGTCGAGCCGCCGCTCGCGGACCTGCCTGCGCTCGGCCGCTGGGGCCCCGATGGCCAAGCTCCTCCCTCCTCCTTCCTCCTCCCCTCCTCTCCTCCTCCTCTGCTCCTCTCCTCTCCTCTCTCCTCCTCTCCTCCTTCTCCTCCTCCTCCTCCTCCTCCTCCTCCTCCTCCTCCTCCTCCTCCTCCTCCTCCTCGATCCTCCAGCGGGCCTGCGCCCTGCTGGAGCACAGCGCCCGCGCGGACGCCGGCGGGGCCCTGTGAGGCCGACCCACGGAAGCAGCGGCAGTGGCGGCGACAAGCCCGCAGAGACCGTGTGCGCCCAGTGTGGCGTCAGGGCCGCGTAGCCAGCGGCGCCCAGAAAGAGTCACCGGCTCCACTCGGGTCGGGCGAAAGGGGGGGATAGCAAAGGGGGGGTTTGAGAATCAGCTCACGTAGCTGATTTTCCCGGCGCCGGGAGGCGCCCATGTATCGAGGAATGGGCCCCTCGGTGAGGCCGAAACCAGCTGCATGTAGCCAATTTTGTAACCCCCCTTTCCCAATCCCCCCCTTTCGCCAGGCCCGATCCACCGAGGGCTCTCCTGGGCAGCACATGTCGGCCCCCCCCACGAAAGCGCAGGGCAACTCGCGGCGGCATGCGCTGGAAGGCGACGTGCTGCCAGAAACTGTGGTCACCTGCGGCGCGCCGCGGCAGTCGGCCGCGTCGCTTGCGCCAAAATTACTACGGAGAGGATGATAAGTGAAATGGAAGGAGGAGGAGAAGGAGGAGGAGAAGGAGGAGGAGGATGAGGAGGAGGGGGAGTTGCCTCAGCGTTTCCTGACGCCCACAGTCGGGTGGAACGCTCAAGCTCGGCAGGGGGGATGGCGGAGGGCCTCCTCACGCCTCCGCGGCCGCCACCGAGACCCGTCGATTGGGGTGCAAACCCCTCTGGATCCGCGCAAGGTTCTCGCGGCCCTTCCGAGTCTCTCCCCCGCAAGCCCCTGAGAGGTTGCACGGGTTGATGGTGGCGGTGCGCCCGCACCGAGCACAAAAGACCAAGCCGGGGCGGGACCACAGCTGCAAAGAATGGGACTCGTGCAGCCTCTTTCATCTCTACCCAACTCTCCCCGCCCGCCCCACGAATGATGACAGCAGGGTGCCTGTCGGGACGCCCTGCCAAGGCGAATGATGACAGCAGGGTGCCTGTCGGGACGCCCTGCCACCGCGTGGCAGGCGGTGGCGCGTTCGGCCTCAAGCGTGCTGGCAGCCACGAGCTTGTGGTACAGCGCGCAGGCCCACTGTCGCCCCGCCCGGACCAGAAGAGTGAGCGGATGACGACGGAACCTTCTGGAGAGCGGGCTCGGGGGGACGGAGGGGGACGGAGGGGGACGGAGGAGGACGGAGGGGGACGGAGGAGGAGGAGGAGGAGGAGGAGGAGGAGGAGGAGGAGGAGGAGGAGGAGGAGGAGGAGGAGGAGGAGGAGGAGTTTCCTCAGCGTTTCCTGACGCCCACAGTCGGGTGGAACGCTCAAGCTCGGCAGGGGGGATGGCGGAGGGCCTCCTCACGCTTCCGCGGCCGCCGCCGAGACCCGTCGATTGGGGTGCAAACCCCTCTGGATCCGCGCAAGGTTCTCGCGGCCCTTCAGAGTCTCTCCCCCGCAAGCCCCTGAGAGGTTGCACGGGTTGATGGTGGCGGTGCGCCCGCATCGAGCACAAAAGATCAAGCCAGGGCGGGGCCACAGCTGCAAAGAATGGGACTCGTGCAGCCTCTTTCATCTCTACCCAACTCTCCCCGCCCGCCCCACGAATGATGACAGCAGGGTGCCTGTCGGGACGCCCTGCCACCGCGTGGCAGGCGGTGGCGCGTTCGACCTCGAGCGTGCTGGCAGCCACGAGGAGAACGAGGAGGACGACAAGGAGAACGAGGACGACGACGACGACGACGACGACGAGGACGAGGAGGGAGAGGGCGGCCGGAGGCAGCTTCTGTGCCCCCCGGGGCCCCTCGGAGCCGCTGCGTGCAGCTCGGCCGACCGGCGCGGCGACGCCATCAAACCGCCAGGCCGCTGGACTTCGTCGTCGTCGTCGTTCGTCGTCGTCGTCGTCGTCGTCCGTCGTCCGTCGTCCGTCGTCCGTCGTCCGTCGTCCGTCGTCCGTCGTCCGTCGTCTCGTCGTCGTCGTCGTCGTCGTCGTCGTCGTCGTCGTCGTCGTCGTCGTCGTCGTCGTCCGTCGTCCGTCGTCCGTCGTCCGTCGTCCGTCGTCCGTCGTCCGTCGTCCGTCGCCCGTCGCCCGTCGCCCGTCGTCGTCGTCGTCGACGTCGTCGTCGTCGTCCGTCGTCCGTCGATGTGTCGTCGTCGTCGTCGAGGAGTGAGACGAAGAGGAACGAGAGGAGAAAGAGGAAGAGCAGGACGTTAGGGCATGTACCCAGACCGCTTTCGCCAGTGCGCAGCGTACAGCGAAGGGTTAAAAGCGAAACGAATTCAACTGTTTAAAATCTGCGTTTAAACAGTCGATCCTCTCAGTGAGGCCGTCCTTTGCGGATCCGACTGAATATACAGGTTAAATTAGCCATGCAAACAACTGCTCAATGTTTATCCCAGCTGATCCTCTCAGTGAGGCCGGACTTTGCGCCTCCAGCTGGTTTAAACACAAAAGTTGAACAGATGTTTAGCTGCACGCTGCCAAGCTGCTGGGAGGATGTGGAAAGGAGAGAAAACAGGTTACCTCGCATGCGACATCACCTACCGTTTAGCGCCTGGCCCGCGAGCGCGAACATCTTGTCTACCTGTTTAGCGGCGGTCGCGGGCGCGTGAGCGCACTTCCAAGGCTTTCGCAGATCCGCCGACCCCTCGTGGGTCTCTGGGCGCGTGAGATTCCCCTCCAAAGATTCTTTCCCCCCCACCCCCCAGGGGCCCCAAAACTGGGAATTTGACCCCCCCCCAGGCCTTGGGGGATTAAGGGTCCCCCGACGACCTAAGAGGGCCCCAAGACGCACCCAAGACGGTTCAAGAAGGCCCCGAGTCTCTGAAAGATCGCTCCAAGACGCCCAAAATAGCCCCAAGACGGCTGAAGAGCCCTCCAAGAGCACTTCCAAGAGGCCAAATCATAAATGTTCTGAAAAAATCTGTGGAGGATTTTGGTATTCTCGCCTTTTCGGCCTTCCGCCGCTCCATGACGTCCCTAGAAGCCTCCAAGACCACTCCAAGACGGCCCAAGAAGCCTCCAAGAAGGCCCCAAGACGGCCCCACAGGGCGCCCAAGACGGCCCAAGAGGCGCCCAAGACGGCCCACGAGGGCCCCCAGACAGCCTCAAGAGGGGCCCAAGAAGGAGAACGCGAACCGAAAATCCGAGCCTCCGGCCCCAAGAAGCCCCGAGGAGGCCCCCAAGAGGCCCCCCAAGAGGCCTCAAGAGGCTCCCCAGATGCCTAAACGAGGCCCCAAAACGATCCCCAGAGGCCTCAAAACTGCCTCTAGGAGGCTCCCGAGAGGCTTCCCACGAGACCCCAACGAACATCCAAGAGGCCTATGACCCACAACCCAGGCACGGCGGCGGGATGGGCCGAAGGCCATTACGTAGATATAGGGGTCG